TTTGCTCCAAGAGATCAGAGATCTGTGCCTTGCTGGGTTATTCCATTGGAATTTCATCCAGATCATTGAAATTCTTTTCCCAATGAGATTTTAACCAGAAATTCTTTTCCCAATCCGTGGGGTGGCTTAAAAACAAAAAAATGGAGCTTTTTTAGGGTGTTTAGGGTTTGATTCTGAGCTTGACGGACTGGGGGTTTCCCTTTGCTCCATGGAATTTTCTCCAGACCATTGGAATTCTTGTCCCAGTCTGTAGGGTGGCTTAAAAACAAAAAAAAATGGAGCTTTTTTTAGGGTGTTTAGGGTTTGATTCTGAGCTTGACGGACTGAGAATTTCCCTTTGCTCCATGGAATCAGAAACCTGTGCCTTGCTGGGTTATTCCATTGGGATATTATTCAGGAATTCTTTTCCTAATCTGTGGTGGGAAAAAACCCACACAACCTTTTTGGGGTCTTAAAAACCCCAAAAGGAGCTTTTTTGGGGTGTTTAGGATTTGATTTTGAGCCTGATGGACCGGGAATTTCCCATTGCTCCATGGGGTGAGGAATCCGTGAAATTTTCTCCAGACCATTGAGATTCTTGTCCCAGTCCGTAGAGTGGCTTAAAAACCCGAAATGAAACTTTTTTGGGGTGTTTAGGATTTGATTCTGAGTTTGGCAGGCTGGGGGTTTCACTTTGCTCCATGGGATCGGAAATTTGTGCCTTGCTGGGTTATTCCATTGGGATTTCATCCAGACCATTGAAATTCTTTTTCCATTGGGATTTTATCCAGAAATTCTTTTCCCAATCTGTGCAGTGGCTTAAAAACCCAAAAAGAAGCTTTTTTAGGGTGTTTAGAGTTTGATTCTGAGCTTGATGGACTGAGAATTTCCCTTTGCTCCATGGAATCAGAAACCTGTGCCTTGCTGGGTTATTCCATTGGGATTTTATTCAGGAATTCTTTTCCTAATATATGAGGTGGCTTAAAAACCCCAAAAGGAGCATTTTTGGGTGTTGAGGATTTGATGTTGAGCCTGATGGACCAGGAATTTCCCTTTGCTCCTTGGGGTCAGGAATCCATGAAATTTTCTCCAGACCATTGAGATTCTTGTCCCAGTCTGTGGAGTGGCTTAAAAACCCCCAAAACAGCTTTTTTTGAGTGTTCAGGAAATGGGGGATTTTTTGGGATTATTTTAAGGAAATGAGGGATTTTAGGGATTGTTTTAAATAGCCAATCCCAATTCCAGAGCCTTTAGGATGAGCAGGGAAGGCAGGCAGGGATTTGGGAATCTGGGATGGAATCTGGCAAATCCCGAGAGTTTTTCTGGCTTTGAAATCCCACATGGAATTCCTTTGGGGCGAGCGCCTCGTTGTGCTGGTATCAGGAAGCGCAGCCGGGCACGGGAAATTTTGGGATTTTGGGAAAACCCCACTGAGCTCTCCCTCCTTTGGGATCACGGCCCGGGATGGAGCCATTCCCTGCTGTGAGGAGGGAGCTCTTTCCCAGCTGTTTTCCAGTTGTTTTCCARTTGTTTTCCAGCTTTTTCCCAGCTGTTTTTCCAGCCATTTTCCAGCTGTTTTCCRGTTGTTTTCCAACTATTTTCATTCTATTTTTCAGCTGTTTTCYGGCTGTTTTCTGGCTGTTTTCCTGATGTTTTCCAACAATTTTCTGTCTGTTTTTCAGCCATTTTCAGGCTCTTTTCCAACTCTATTCCAGYTTTTTCCCAGCCATTTTCCAGCTGCTTTTTTAGCCATTTTCCACCTATTTTCTGGCTATTTCCTGGCTGTTTTTCTGCTGTTTCCTGTCTGTTTTCCAACCATTTTCCAGGCATTTCCAGCTGTTTTCCAGCCATTTTCCAGCTGTTTCCCAGCAATTTTCAGCCATTTCCAACCACTTTCAAGCTTTTTTTTAGCCATTTTCCACACGTTTTCTGGCTATTTCCTGGCTGCTTTTCTGCTGTTTCCTGTCTGTTTTCCAACCATTTTCCAGGCATTTCCAGCTGTTTTCCAGCCATTTTCCAGCTGTTTCCCAGCCATTTTCAGCTATTTCCAGCCACTTTCAAGCTGTTTTTTTAGCCATTTTCCACATGTTTTCTGGCTATTTCCTGGCTGTTTTTCTGCTGTTTCCTGGCTCTTTTCCGGCCTTTTT